AAAAAACAACAGTAACAGGCAAATAGGCAAATATAAAATTGTAGCTTTCTAAGAAATTAATCTGATCAAACCAGAAGAATCAAGTACTAGAGCTGTGGGTTATTTTATGTTAAATTTTTGGTATTATTTAACATCATTTTTAAAGAAGTTAAATTTTTTAACATTTCAAAATACTATGGAGGTACAAATATTTTGGGTGACGTGGATCACTTTTATAATGCTGAGTCATGGTTATAAGCATGCCCACCACCCACGTGGGGTTCATGGTACCCGGGAGGGAGGTTTTCATCCATCCCTCTTCCCCTCTCCTTCTGCTTAATTTCTGTTAAGTCTTCCTTCCCTCTAAGTCCCAGTGTGCTCTTCAGTTAGTTCCAGTTTAATAGTAAGTACATGTGATGTTAGTTTTCCCACCCTTTAGATACTTCACTTAGGATAAGGGTCTCCAATTGTATTCAAATTACTGCAAAAGGCACTAAGTCATCCTTGTTCATGGCTGAGTAGTACCCTATGGTACACGCACACCACATTCTGTTAATCCATTCATGAATTGATGGGCAGTTGGGTTGATTACACATCTTTGTTATTGTGAATTATGCTGCAAATAATCCTTTGAGGACAGGTGTCTTTTTGATAAAATGATTTCTTTTCCTTCTGGAAATACCCAATAATAAAATTACCAAATCAAAGGGTAGGTCTACTTTTAGTTCTTCAAGGAATCTCCATACTGTCTTCCATAGAGGTTGTACTAATTTGCAGAAAATGAAGTAAAATTACTTTTAAAAAATAGAATCAAGTGGGTGGCATAGTGGTTTTCAGAACTGATCCTCAAATCCTTCCACAGGCCTCCTGCTGAGAGGGCGGGCCTGTGTTTCTTCCCTTTGAAGCAGGTGGAGCTGTGACGGACAGGGGCTCTGACCAACCACGCAGTAGAAACAACCTTAGTGTCCTAGGAGGCTGGGTCAAAAAAAGTACGGCAGCTTCCTTCTGGCTCTCTTTTTGGAAAGCTCACTGTGGAGGATTCCAGAAAGTGCAACCCATGTGGACAGGAACTAGGGCCACAGCTGCCCCAACAGGCAGCATCGCCTGCCAGACTTCAGATGGTTCCTGCTTGAGAATCTTCCAGCTGAGACTCTGGACCGTGCAGCACAAGACGGAGTGTGCCAGCTCTGTCCTGTCTGAATATTTAATCCCCGGGATCTTCAGTGAGCAAAATAAATACCTGGGGTTTTGTTGTTTTATTTGATTTGTGTTTGATTTTGTTTGCTCCTAAATGACACAGCAATTGACAGCCAGAAGAGACGGGGGTTTCTGTGATGACATTTGCCGGTTTGGGGACGGTTTCCCCTGAGTCTCATCTTCTCCCTTACGCATACTGTGATGTTCATTTTATGTATCAATTTGAAAGAAATATGATGTCCAGATATTTTCTCCAACATTATTCTGGATAATGAGTGTGTGAAGGTCTATTTTGGATAGGAATATTTAAATCAGTTGGCTTTGAGTAAACGGATTACCCTTCATAATGTGGGTGGGCCTCCTGTTGGAGATTCACCAAGCCTCTGCAATCACATGAGCTAATTCCTTAAAATAAATCTTTCTCTCTCTCTTGATATATATACCCTGAGTAATACTCATATTATCCCTTTAACTCTGCTTCCCAAACTACTTGCCAGTTGTTCTTACATCCAAATCTCACTGTAGCATCCAAATAAATCACTTCTGTTTAAAGTCATATGTATGTGATGGATTTAACAGGTCTGGAAAAGAGACTAAGACTGGTTGGGAAGTCAGGCTTCTAATCTGCTTCCTCTTCCTCCCTCCTCACAACATAAATCATAAGTAATGTGGGTTCGTTGACAGAAAGTGAGCAGCACTTACACAAGATGACAATACCAGGGGCAGTCAACTCTGGGAAGACAAAGGCCTGGGAAGCAGATCGCTGCGGCTTGTGCCCGGAAGTGGCTTAAAGAATTTATTTGTGCCACTGAGAATTCCCAAGTGTCCAAATAATCAAATCCAGACAAGGTAAAAAAGAAAAGGTTCAACTTTACCCCTCAAAGCAGTGGGCAACTGTCAGGACCCATCTCTTGGCGATGAGCACACAGCCACAAATGTGTCCACTGGGTTCGCTCTGCAGAGAACACTGCCACGGCCACCTTCCAGGGCGGCTCGTGCGACCTCCCAGGATCCTCTTGTTCATCCGGGCAGCAGGGCGGCGCCCACAGTCTACCAAGGAGGAGCAGAAGACACCGTTTGTGAGTTGACACCAAACCCACTAAATGCTGAGAGCTCTTTACTGTTATGCACAAATGATCATTTCCCCCCAAGCCAATCCAGTTAAAGAAGGTTCATATCCCGTCTCTGTGCCTCCAATTCTCTCACCTTGTTTATTACACAGAAGAGAGATCTTACTTCCACTCTCACAAGACTGCCTAGATTTGGAAACATAAAATGTTAAAATATTAAGGTACATCTCTGTGTTCACTTCAAACACTTTACCAGTGAAAAGCAAGTCACAGGTTCTTTTGTTACCAGAGGGCACATTCTCTGAGCAAATCCCTTTTGGTGCAAGAATATCAAGGCAGGGGTGTGGTCAGCTGAGGGCAGGGGTATGTACTCTTGCTTTTGTTTTTTATTTAGTACCATTAGGATGTAATTTCACATTTGTGGGGAAAGAAACTATTGTAATCAAGTTTCGCACAATTGTTTTGGCTGATGGTACCACCCAAAATGTTGACTCCAACTCTGATTCTCAAGGAACATGAATTGGGCTGCTTCCTTAGAAGGGAGGATGTCAGACTGTTATGTTTCCTTGGAGGGGGACATGCCCCAAACAAGTGGAGAAAGAATCTGAGGACTATAAATATAACTTCAAACATTTAAAGAACCAAAAAAGGGGTGGAGTATCTACATTGGAAAAGAGTCTTGTCTTACCAAGACTGTGGAGGTTAAATTGTGGATAGATGAGGAGCTGACAGGAGGGAAGGGAGCCTAAACTTAGTTCATGTAAACTTAGATGGCATAATTGAAACCAGTAAGCAAAACCTTCAGAAGTGTGGGTTCAGGAAAAGAATTTTCTAAAAAGCTAAGAGTTAATTTTGAAGGCAAGAATGTGGGCTGTATTTAAAGATCTCTCAACATGGTTGCACAAGAGAATTCAGTTTGGGGTATGTTAAATTTTAATCATTACATTCTCTTCCAACCATGAAACATTTATTCACAATGCAAATGAAAAAGAAAAAACAAAAACACCTTAGGATTCAAAAACAAAATTGTGATGTGCTTAGAAATCCTAGGTCTTTCATCTTAAAAAAAAACAATCCATCCTGAAATATGCGATTTCCACATTCTTTTCTGAAGACATACTGCACTTTAATTTCTTGCTAAATCTTCCTATGGGCATGTATAATTACTTGTATATAATAAATTATGTAACACAAGAAAAGCTCATTTGCTTTTTACCTGCCCTCAGTCTAAAATCCTATCCTCATTCTCTACCTCATTATTCTTAATTTCCTTGTAGACTTCCCAATCTCTAAAATGATTTAGGTTTGTTTGCTAACGTTCAATATATCTGTTCACCCACACAGAGTAAGGTCTTTGAGACCTGGGCCCTCATTCCCATCTACACCCTCTCAAAGCCTAACACTGAACCTGGTATAGAGGGGATACTCAATGATTAGCTGTTACTTGTTAGATTAAAAAATCATAACTTTTAAGTATAAGGAAACTAATCACAGACAATTCATTCCAAGTCCTTATTAGAAACTGTGGTTACATAAGATTACACATCTCATTAGTAAGCCAGAACCAGAACTAGGTCTACTAAATAGAATGAAGTATTTATTTATTCATTTATTTGACCTGAAAGGGTTTTCTTAGAATTCCCAGGGTAGGGAAACAAATCACTCTGCTGAAAGATTCAGGTCATTGTTCTGGAGGAAATACTTCAGTT